TGATTAGCGAAAAAGGGAGGTTGCAACCAGAGTCATGGAATGGATTAAGTTCGTAACTAGAGGTACCACTGTATGTGATCATATTCATTTTTGGCAAATAAATCAAGTAAGAATTCCATGATTCAGTTAGCATTCCCTCTCAACATCAGAGTGCAAAAATATAATTCAGTCAGTGTTTTATCCTCTGAATTATAGCAACTTTTGTTCCTAGCGTAACAAAAATCTTCTGGTCCATGCTTCACACAGAGAGAGGGCACAGACTGCCTCCTCCCCCACCCCCCTCACATTTTAAATTAATTCTGTATGCATTTGCTTGGACATTTCTAACAATTCTGAGATGATGATATGAGATGTTACAGCATAGAGACTCTATACATGTACATGTTTGTATAGGAGCAGTAATGGGCTTACTTAAGTCAAGAGAGTGGTGTGAGTCAAGAGTTTGATGTACATTCCTTACATAGAGAGGGAAATCAAACCAGGCAAGTTTAAAAAAAAAAGTGAAACTGACTGGAAATTTACTATACATTTCAAGGTTAGGTTTGCTGATAAGGCTGCCTATGAAATGTATGAGACAGCTTTGAATTTAGATAGCTGAAAACCAGGCAAGGCAAGAATTCCTGCAAACTGGGAGACATTTGCCCACAAGGCTCACCGATTCTAGACATTTAAATCACAACTTGGAAGCTTTGCAACTAGAACTGCATGAAAATAAGAACATCAAATTGGCTGCATAAGAAAGACAACATGGGAACAGTCTCATTGTGGGATCAACAAACACTTGTGCAGGGAGGGCCCCCAAGCTAGAATTCAATGGCAATACTTCTTGTGAATGGAAAAATAGTTCCCCTCACCCAGGTCCCATGATGTTCCAGAGTTACAAATGAGAAAATGGAAATTTTACAATTTGACCTGGCATCACAGCCATGCTGAAATCAGTTCAACTACTCAACGAAAATGACAGAATATGATTACCAAGGCGTGGAACCAAAGAAGTGTCCTTAGATAACGATCCACTACTGGAGTTATCAATCTCACTCCTTACAGGCATATGTATTTTTGAACCAGGATTTCCCTCTGGTTAAGGTGACTGCCCACAGGATTATAGATGAAGCCTATACGCTTTCAATTCTATTTAGAATTGATCTTATAATACAGAAAAAAGGATTTGCAACATAATCAGGAGCATTGTGCTGTTGATAACTTTAAAGCAGTTGTTTAATTAGGGAGGTTGCTGCTAGGCACAGCCTCAGACAAAGGAGATTTTAGAAATATTTCATAGAAGAGACAGGATGCTACCAGCAACTTTTCTAGCGGGGCTCTACATTCCCACACCTCAGGACAATCTAAGTATCCTACACCTAAGAGTAGGAGAGAGGCAGATGGAACAGAAACAAGATACATGAAATTGTTTCCATCTGTGCTGGCTTGGTTTTGTTGCAAATGTGTTTCTGTTTTAATACAGTCTAGTCAATGTAATTTGTAAGTATGAAAAGCTACACAGATATCTCCAGATGGAAAGTGCTATATAAGTAAGAATAAATAGATACATTCTTAGCAATGCTTACAGACCATCTGTTCTTGATGCCTGGACCTGATGTGGTTTGGAAAACATAGCACCATTTCCCCATAGTCTAGACCAGCGTTGTCCAAACTTAGCCACTTTAAGATGAGTGGACTTCAACTCTCAGAATTCCCCAGCCAGCCATGGACTTCAACTCCATTCCGGGAGTTGAAGTCCACTCATCTTAAAGTGGCCAAGTTTGGACAACACTGGTCTAGAAGGAGAAAACACTGCTGCTGAAGTTGGTAACTTCTTTTTTCCTATCCAGTGGGAAGGGATTAAACTACCAAAAAAAGCTAACTCTTTGTAACGGGATAAAACGGGACAAATTTCACAGAAATCGACGCATAGGCATCCAGCTGTCCGTAGCTTTCCTATTTCGGGGTATAATTTAAAAAACCAGCAGTAATAATCCTTATGATTAGGAAAATCTATGCCAAAATTCAGATAGGTTATGGATGCTTGTAAGGAATGTTGATGCTCCTTCCGGCCTGCACAGTAAGTGATTTGAGATGTTGAGGTAGAAGTATAAAGGGTTAACTCTTATTTTTTTCTGTAAAATAAACTGATCATTAAGAGACCAGCTAGTACTGCTCAAAAATCATGACCACATACCTACTATGACTTAGAGATTGGGAAACAAGTACAGTGAATGGTAAAGCTATGGCTCTCTCTTAATCCTCAAGGTCTCTCCGAGACACTCTGTTTGCTGCACTCACTGAAGGACAGGACACAAGGGTCACTCTGATTTGACGGCAAATAGATTGGTTATATTCTCCTTTTTCTCATTCCCATAATATTTCACAAAAACAATGGATTTTCCCCTCCTCTTTTTGTTTCTGCCACTGTAGCTTTGACCTTTGCAACCTAAGGTCAAAGCTACAGTGAACCCATGTATAGTGTTATTACCTCACTTTGCCTTGTGATCTAGATTTCAGATGAATCGCATGCTCTCTTCAAATGAATACATAAAGCAGTACTTTTAAAATGTGCTTCTTTAGGCCCTATTCCCTTTGGAAAGAAAACATTTAACCCAATGAAAGAAAAACCAAAAATTTGCTAGGGACCCTCACTGTACTTCTTAGCAATTATCACTTTCCATATGAACCAAAATAATTATATCCAAATCTAGCCATGTAGCTGAGATTTTTTTTAATCACTTAGGGGATTGGAAAACGGGGTGGGACAGAGTATAAGTTACCTGCACAGCTTTATATATTTTTTTCAGAAAACAGAATTCAATGGTTATTGTTCCCAACCATCTTGTACCCTAAACCTTCTGCAGACAGGAATGTTTGGCCATAACAGAAAATATCTGCAACTGGATAAATTTCTTAAACTGTGCCCTAAGTAAACAAACAGTATTATTGTTATTTATATCCTGCCCTTCAATAAAAAGTTTCCCAGAACAACTTTACAGTAAAAATAGAACTACAGTAATAGAAGAAAAATAAAGTGTACAATTAAACAACCACTAAAAATACATCTAACATAGTTGCTGGCAAAAGCTGGAACTGCTAGGCAGTCAAACCAATGATGGACTAATCCAGAAAGCCTCCCTAAATGTATTATGAAGGGCCCAAATAGTTCCTAATATGATTCCCAGTGCTGTATTTCAAGCACAAATGTCACACACAACATGCATACAATACTATTCTTGTTCAGCCTTGCTTAAAAATGTCTGTGTAGCTCACAGCAAATTCATGTGATGCTTATTTCCCCCACTCTTTTTTTGTGTGTGTACTAAGTATCAGCTGTAATAATAAAGTATGAATTTACTTTTCCAAAGATGATTCTGTAAAGAAATAGTTTGATAAGTATAATCAGCTAGCAACCATTTGCTTAAGAAATAGAAAAGTTACGGTCTTAAGCTTAAAGAATACTCTATGCTAACTTGTGCATCTGTTGCCTTTTACAGAATTTTTGCATGACTGGCAAAATGTTGAAATTAATTGTATTTTTACTTCATGAGTTCCAAGACTGTATGGCTGCAATGTCAACTTAAAGTGATGACTATGTTTTTACAATGTCCTATAATTATTAAGTTTTGGGAAGTATAAATACGATTGTGTGGCAAAAGCTAATATTTTCAGAGGATAATATTCTTTTAAAGTATATACCTAGTATGGCTGGTGTGGGTCTTCCGGGCTGTGTGGCCGTGTTCTGGAAGTTCTGTTTCCTAACGT